TCTCTAAATGCACAGCCTCACCTGGTGAGTAAAAAAAAAACATATTGTATCATTGTTCTGCATATAAAAAGTAGTGTGCATAGTTTAATTAAGGCTTTGTTTGTGAAAACTAGTAACAAATTCAGCTCTGTCAGCAGGTAGATCCATATATCAGCTAATTATTCTCTCGGTGTCCAAGTTGTGTTTGAAATGATCAGCTTGTTGAACAGTTTGAACAGGAATATTTTTATTAACAGTCTGATTGAATCAGCAGCTGTATAAATGTTAGACTGATGGTTCAGTTGTTCAGGTTCATTTATGGTTCTGATGTTTACTAAAATGAACACATTTGTTTTTTATTGAAACACAACTACAGCTTCTTAAGATAAAATGTGATAAAAGTTGGTCTGTGAGTGTGCTCAAGTTTTACAGCAGATTTTTACATTTCTTATGTTGAAATATAAGAAATAAATAAATCGGTTTGGGTCAAATGAAATAATTTGACCTGAAATTGGAACCTATGGGTTATGTTTATTATACTAAATGTTAAATAAAATAGGCTATACATCCCTAAATAAACACTGTAGTACATTAAATTTAAAAATGAAACCTCTAGATGTGAATCAGATCTCTTCATTTGACTTTTAGGAAGGAGGAAGTTTTAGTTTTAGTTTCATTTGATGATCTGTTAGTTTAAAATCTTACAGCAGCAGGTAGAACTATGATGACATAAATACTGTTTCAGTCACATTGTAATATTTTTAGTGTCACCAGGTAAAGAAAGAGCTTCTTACTAACAGTAACTGAATTCAGTCTCTGTTACCATGGTGATCTAATTAGGTTCAGACTCAGCCTCTGTTACCATGGTGACTTAACCAGACCTAAAGAAATCCTTTTTAAGACTGAAAACTTTAACTTTAACAGTTGTCTGATCTGTTGTCTTCAGTTTGTATCCAGTTCTGTGGTGATCCACTGACTGAGGACCAGAACCTCATGAACATTAAAGTCTCTGAGTGGAAGAAGAGCTCATCAGTTTATTTTAAACATGGTTACTCTCTTCCTTGTAGGCTGCTGCACTTTAACTTGTGAAACACAACATGAAACACATCCTCTGGTATGTCGTGTCCATTTGCATATTATATAAATAATGACGGTGGGCCGCCAGGACCAAAAAATGCCCGGGCCGTTTTTTGGTCCCAGTCCAGCCTTGCTGTCAATCCACATCGATCTGAGGCTTCATATAAAATCTCACATCGTGGGGTATCCTTGATCATGGGGAAGGTGAGAGGTCAACCTAAAACTTCATGGGGGATCTTCTTATTGATCAAGGCAGCTGGGACCACAGTCACCAAGAAAACCATTGGTAACACATGACTCCGTAATGGATTAAAATCCTGCAGTGCCTGAAAGCTCCCCAAGCTCAACAAGGCACATGTTCAGGCCTGTCTGAAGTTTGCCAATGAACACCTGGGTGATTCTGAGAGTGATTGGGAGAAGGTGCTGTGGTCAGATG